CTAGTCTATGTGCTCTTCTACTTGTTCTGATACAGCTCAACATCATATTTTTTTAGTATCGATACCAGCTCTAGTTTCAGTTCAAGTTTTCGATCGATTAGAATCAGATTTTCAATTCTTTTAACAGCCCTAAGCCTTATATAGCATTGTCTGTCTAACTCTAGTTTACAATGACAGCATCGTGGTGTAGTGTCAAAAAAACAAAAAAACTAAGCTGTGAGGTTGCTGCTTAGAGCGGGTGTGGAGCCGAGATATGCGTCCTGTCGAGGTATGCGTCTTGTACCTGTCAGTTTGAGCTCCTCTTCTGCCAAAACTCTCTCGGTAAATGTTGCTTCTTTTTATAAAATCACACTTGTAATTTACGTTGATCAGCTAATGACATGAACGGTCCGTGAACTTCCAACAAACTTCACCATGATTAGCAAGTTGAGGTGTGTGTTGTCTTGTCATATAATTAGTTAGCTGGCCTTAATTATTAGTCCGTATCAGTGGACGGGTTTCACTTTATTCTGGAAGTTGCCGTGGGGGCTGGCATCATGATTTGGGTTGTATTATTTTGTATGGAGCTGCCGATCTCAATCATCTCAATACAGATAATAAAACCATTTTAAAGCTTCCCAGAGAGTTGGTCAGGGTATCCCCAGGTTTGACTACCCCGAACTTAAGAACGCTACACTGGAGAAACTAAACAGCTACTTCACAAGAGGATGTACCAACACAGACGAGAGAGCAGCAGTGGACCTCAGTCTGCTGTACATCTCCACTTAAAAGCCACAGGCCACTCATTTGAGGACAGCGAGGTACAGATGTTAGCTAGAGAGAAGAACTGTTTTGAGAGGGGAGTGAAAGAAGCCATTTTTGTTAAGAAAGAGAATCCTTCTCTAAATTGAAATGGAGACTCAGACACCATCTGTCTCCTATTTACAAGTCCATCCTCAAACCTAAATCAAAACAAACAAGGGAACAACAGGTGTATCCAGGTCAGGTCCAGAGGTGTGGAAGCTCCATTATGGCCATGAATAGTTATGCTAATTAGACCCCACACCCTGTACAGGTCAATAGGCCGAACTAACAAACAGAAACTGTAAACAAGTGTGTGTGTTAGTTTCAGTGTAGTTAGCTCCTCCCTGCAGACAGATATAAGGAAGTGTCCACCAGTGTCTGACCAGAACTGAAGAAGCTGCTTGGATGAACTGTGAAACATCTTCAACCAAACTAACTTTTGTCCAGTCGACAAACTGAATTTTCTCCTCGCCACAAATTTAAGATGTTTTAAAGACCTTTTTAAAACCACTTAAAACCAACTTTGCACCCATTATCCACACTAGATCCAATTCTAATATGACCATTACTCACTGCTTTAAATAACAAAAAATACTTTCATTATAAATTCTCATTCAGAACTCATTTATAGTAGTGTGCATTGCTTGTAAAATGGCCAAAGTAATATTTATGACATTCTAACAAGACAAACTAAGTATTGTTTGCACATACTCCAAATTAGATGTTGATTCATGTTACATGATTTCACTTTTCAATTTTAATATCGCACTACAGCCCGGTTGAGTATACAAAAAAAGAAATAAAATAAAATAGGCTAATGGAATTTAAGACCTTTTTTAAAAAATAAGACTTGGTCAACATTATGTAAGACTTTTTAAGGCCTTAATGTAGGAACATGAAATTTAAGACCTTTTTAAGACTTTTAAGACCCTGTGGCTACCCTGGTGGAAGTGTGTTGTTGGTCAAATGAAAACTTGAACATTTTACACAAATGAACTGACTTTATGTCATATTTAAGTTGTAAAATATTTCCCAAATTATCCATGACATGAATGGGATCCCCGATTAACAGGAAGTGCTACCACAAAAACATGTAATTTAGGAGCATTTAGAGACAGAACTGGAGCAATGAACGATGTTGTTCAGAGTCCTGCATGGGTCCATTTTAGGAGATCGGCTGCACCCGTGCAGTACAGCACCACACCCACCCGTTAACCCGTGATTATATCAAAGTTAAGCCCGCACCCGCTCTGAGCTGTTAACATTCCACCTGTTATCCGCCCGTGCCCGTGATAAATCACACACAGATTAAAAGCATTCTAACTGAAGCTTCCATCAGAATACGAATTGAAAAGTTACGACTTCAAGAATTACAATCACGAAATGAAATGTTCACACTTTCTTCAGTACGAATACGAATTCAGACACGACTCGACTGTCATCACTTCACAGGCTTTATTTACTGAGTAGAAGAAACACGGCACGGACTGAACCAGGATTAACCCAGGACTAATCTAAGACTGATTCAAGAACTAAACTAGGACTAAAACAGGACTAAACCAGAACTGAGCCAGGACTCACTGTCGGTACGGGCTCGGAGGTGCATCTGCGTAGTCCGTCGGGTGACCGCAGGCAAAAGGACCGGCGAAGGGCTCTGCCTCTGCCTCATAGAGCACAGCCTTAGCCTGATCGCTCGAGGGCTCAGGGTTCTCTCTCTCACTCTCTCTCTTAAGTCCAAGATTAGTTCTAGTGTAGTTCTGGTGTAGTTCTGGTTTAGTACTGATTTAGTCCTGACCTACCCGTGTGTAATCACTACCCGCCCACATACCCACCCGTAAAATTCCAGAACGTTAAAACCTGCCCGTTTCAGCAACTATTTACCGTACCCAACCAGGTGCAGGACTCTGACGTGGTTCTCTCTACATCCAGTCGACATACATTTCTGGTACTCTGCTTTCCTGCTTCATTTTGTAAACACCAACATCATTTTAAAGTCTTGGCCTCCTAGTGTTGTGGCGGAAAATTACTTCATGGCACATAGACCTCGACGCCGATCCATAAATCAAAAAACGATGGCGACAAGACCCCAGCAGCAGTAATTTGGCCTTAACACGCACCTCCACTTGCTAATCTTTGTGAAGTTTGTCCACGGACCTTTCATGGAGTTAGCTGATGAACGTAATTATAAATGAGATTTCATAAGAAGCAACATTTACCGAGAGAATTTTCACAAAAGAGGAGCTCAAATTTAACTAATTCATTGTAAACAGTTTGCAGTGGTCCAAAGTTATTCCTCACTTACCTTATGTCTGATCTGATCATCCTCATTGTTCACCAGGAGAACTTTATAAGCACAATTCACACTAAAATAGAGCTGTCTTATTTTGACCTCAAGAGCTGCTTATGCAAAATATCGGTAATGGGGCAAGACAAATTTTGCCCAAAAACATCTGGTAGATCCTCTTTAATGCGGCAATTTACAACGCACTGAAGAACTTGACTAAAACTTGTGAAGGGTATTTAAAGTCGCTGGCTGTGACTGCCTTAATCCAACTTGCTGACTTCAAACATACTAAAAATGATCTAACCCTCCTGTCAGCTTAGCCTTCTAGATTTCTGCTGGTTGCATTTTTCTTAAATCTTGCCCCAGTTTGGTGTTTGTGTTTGTGCTGAGTGCTCAAAGTCTGTGGGTGCACAAAAGGAGCCGTTATGCTTTGCTGCGATAAGCGTATACTTAAGCTCAAACTGCACCCGCACGTTTGAGCTCATGCAAAAAGAAACGTGTAATATAATGCAGAAGTTTTGACCTAGTTTTTGGTTAATATCTCTGGGTTTAAAGGGGCTGTACCTGATTTTATTCTCACAAACATTAACAACAGAACTACATAATTTTCTACAGTTCGCAGAGGTTCAAACTCACTTCCTTCACGCTAATTATTCACCGCAATGAGTTTATAATGCTGTTCCCAATTTGCAATCACAATAAAGGTAAAAATAACTAGAATGCCAACAGTGCACTTCCTGATTTTTGTTATAATTCAATGCAGAATGCACACGGCGGTCAAATTTTTCTTATTGTTACATAAAGGCTAGGAAATTTTACTGAGCATTTACCCCTTACCCCAGTTGTAGGGAGTATTATCTGTTACATAAGGGTAAGTTGTTGTACAGTTGTAGGGAGTATTATCTATTACGTAATAGTGAGTTATTGTACAGTGTAGGGAGTATTATCTATTGTTGTACAGTTGTAGGGAGTATTATCTGTTACATAAGAGTGACTTGTTGTGCAGTTGTAGGGAGTATTATCTGTTACATAAGGGTAAGTTGTTGTACAGTTGTAGGGAGTATTATCTGTTACATAAGGGTGAGTTGTTGTACAGTTGTAGGGAGTATTATCTATGACATAATGGTGAGTTATTGGACATTGTAGGGAGTATTATCTGTTACATAAGGGTGAGTTGTTGTACAGTTGTAGGGAGTATTATCTATGACCTAACGGTGAGTTATTGGACATTGTAGGGAGTATTATCTGTTACATAAGGGTGAGCTGTTGTACAGTTGTAGGGAGTATTATCTGTTACATAAGGGTGAGTTGTACAGTTGTAGGGAGTATTATCTGTTACATAGTAGGGTGAGTTGTTGTACAGTTGTAGGGAGTATTATCTGTTGTTGTACAGCTGTAGGGAGCATTATCTGTTACATAAGGGTAAGTTGTTGTACAGTTGTATGGAGTATTATTTGTTACATAAGGGTAAGTTGTTGTTCAGTTGTAGGGAGTATTATCTGTTACATAAGGGTGAATTGTAGGGAGTATTATGGTATGGATGTAGTCCTGTATCTCTCACTGTTTGAACGGATCTGTAGGAGCCTGTTTGAAAGTGTCCTCAGATGAATCCGCCTGTGCGACATTTTATTTTCTGCAGATGGATTTTGAGGAAACTGAATCTATTCTTGTCTTTGTCTGTGATAAATCATTGTTTACAGTTCTAACATTTTCTTTTTGTCTGTGTCTGTTGCAGGTGTAATCTGCTGTTGAGGTGCGACACCAGACAACAAAAGCTTATCTCCGAAAAGCTTGAACCAGATGTTCTTTATGCTCATCAACGCCTACAGAAGTGCCGATAACACCCAAGGAAGATACAGTTACTAATGCGTGCAAGGTTTCTCCAAACTCCATTAAAACTAGCTCTCCTCTAAAATACAAGAGAGCAACCGAGATGGCCGCCCGATCCTTGCTTTGGCCTTCGTTGATTTGGCTTCAACTTGGATTATTTTTGGCATTTCAGGTGCCAATTTACAGCAAAGAATGTCCAAGATTGTGCGTTTGCGAGATTCGACCATGGTTCACTCCGCAGTCAACCTACAAAGAGGCCATCACTGTAGATTGCAATGATCTAAGGCTAATGAAAATACCTACAAACTTGTCTCTAGATACGCAAGTGCTGCTCCTACAAAGCAATCTGATCTCACACACAAATGGAGAACTGGAAGCATTGGTTAACCTGACCGAACTGGACTTTTCGCAGAACAACTTCAGCACAGTGGAAGCAGTCGGACTACGAAGTATGAACCACTTGACGACGTTGCATTTAGAAGAAAATCAGCTCACGGAATTACCAGATTTCTGCTTGAAAAACCTCTCCAACCTCCAAGAACTGTACATTAACCACAATAAGATCAACTCAATCTCTGCTCACGCATTTGGTGGCCTTCAGAATTTGCTAAGGCTTCACCTGAACTCCAACAAGCTCCACGTTATAGATAGCCGCTGGTTTGAAGAAACTCCCAACTTGGAAATACTCATGATTGGCGAAAACCCGGTAGTTGGACTTTTGGATATGAACTTCAAGCCACTTGGGAGTCTCCGAAGTCTTGTTTTGGCCGGTATGGATCTTACAGATGTTCCTGCCGATGCGTTCATTGGGTTGGAGACTCTTGAAAGCATTTCATTTTATGACAACAAGCTCGTTCGAATTCCGCAACTCGCTCTCCAAAAAGTCCCCAATTTGAAGTTTTTGGACTTAAACAAAAATCCCGTCCAGAAACTACAAGAAGGTGATTTTCGTAACATGTTGCATCTTAAAGAATTAAGTATTAACAACATGATGGAGCTCGTGTCTATAGATCGTTATGCTTTAGATAACCTTCCTGAATTCACCAAACTGGAAGCGACCAACAACCCAAAGTTATCATACATTCACAAACAAGCGTTCAGAGAATTACCGTCTTTGGAGAGCTTGATGCTAAATCACAACGCACTGACGGCGCTCTATCAGGGGAGCGTCGAGTCCTTACCGAATTTGCGCGAAGTTAGTATACATAGCAACCCGCTACGCTGCGATTGCGTTATTCAGTGGATGAGTTCAAACCGGACGACCGTTAGATTCATGGAGCCTTCTTCTATGCTTTGCTTCTCTCCGCCTGAGCTTAAAGGACAAAAAGTACGAGAATTTAAGCTAGTCGAAGCAGCAGAGCAATGTTTACCGCTAATTTCTCACGAGACCTTCCCGAGCCATTTGAATCTCGAGTTAGGTATGAGTGTGAGCTTAGATTGCCGCGCTATGGGCGAACCCGACCCGGAAATCTATTGGGTAACTCCTTTAGGAAATAAAATAACTCAAGATACCGATTCAGACCGCTACCATTTGAGTAGCGAAGGGACTTTGCATTTGTCTCACGTCCAAGTTGAAGATTCGGGGAGGTATACGTGCGTGGCGCAAAATACGGAAGGCGCGGACACGAAAGTGACGACGATACGCGTCAATGGGACTTTAATCGAAAGTGCGCAAGTTATGAAAATATACGTGAAACAAACAGAGTCTCATTCAATTCTTGTTTCTTGGAAGGTGAATTCAAACGTTATGACTTCAAATCTTAAATGGGCATCGGCCACTATGAAAATCGATAATCCACATATTACGTACACGGCTAGAGTACCAGTTGACGTCCACGAATACAACTTAACGCATCTCCAGCCCGCTACCGAGTACGAAGTTTGCCTCACCGTGTCAAACATCCACTTACAAACCCACAAATCTTGCGTAAACGTGACGACAAGAAGCCCAACTTTCTCCCTGGACATTTCGGAGCAGCATCCTAGCGTAGCTGTGCTAGCCGTGATGGTGACGGCGTTAGCGTTCATTAGCCTAGCCACGGTCGCGGTCTACATGGCTAAAAAGTGGAGAAGGAAAAACTACCATCACTCGCTGAAGAAATACATGCTCAAAACATCTTCAATTCCGTTAAACGAGCTGTACCCGCCGCTTATCAACTTGTGGGATTCAGACCCGGAAAAAGATGCGACAGATGCGAGCGGGAAACCTTCTCCCGTCGACACCACGCGCAGCTACTACATGTGGTAAAATGTTACAGAAAAGCACAAAAAGACACAACTTTTGCCATTTTTTGAGGCAAAGGTCTCCTGTCGCTAATGTTTTTGTATTCCTGGCTTTGCGAACTCAAGGCGGAGGAATCAAGGACAGGTTTTTTATTAGTATAGCGTATCGCCTTTCGTTGTATTTCTTGTGTTTTGTACTCTCCAAGATGGCAGCTGTAATAAGCCTACGGTAATTCTTTATAATTGCTATATTGCTGTTTTTGTGGTGCAAGTTTGATTGATTCTATGCTAAAGCAACATTATGTAACTTTTACTACTACATTTAATATGGAATATGGAACTGTATTTTTTTTTTTTGATTAGCCTTTACTGTCCTCTCAACTCACCAGAGTTTGAAATGTATTTGACACCATGTAATGCACCGACTTACTTTTATTTTTGACATTTTAGTTTATTGTTATGATTTTGTCACAATTTTAGTTTCTTGTCTTTTTTTTTTGTAATTTTTGTTTCTTGTAATTTTGTTTCTTGTTTTTTTTTTGTTTGTTTGTTTCTTCAAATTTTTGTTTCTAGCTTTTCTTTTTAGAATTTACCCTTTGTGATATTATACATTTTTGTTTTTCCTTTTATCAACCTTTTATTTACCATGTAGCTGTAATGATGGGTCGATGGATAAAATATTGAAATTTGCTGAGATTTCGAAAAGTATTCATTTACTTCCTTAAAACTTCTCCAAAAAAATTGCTGTTTTAAAACCAAGTTCATATTTAGATTTTGGTTTCGCTGCACAACTTTGCTACGATTTTTCACTCACACTTTAAGGAGCACAAGAGAAGATTTACATTTTATTTTATATACTACACACTGGTATCAATATCCGATCAATATTGCAATACTAGACCCGATACTACCTGGTATTTGATCAAAACGGACATCTCTGCGATCACCCATCAAAATGAACTCAATTATTTCAACGTTCTGCCATCATATACGGAGAAAAAGTTACCCTGTGTTGCTTTAGAGTGCATATTTAACAGCAGGCCCACAGGCTCCTCTTGCTAATTAAGTAGAAATGAATGTTTCTTTTGCTTCTGTGAAACAGTTTTTTGTGCACTGATTGAAATGAAGTTCGTGAGAATTTCATGGGAAGCTGACAGCGGTTTGTTGAAATGAGGACTGAATGTTAGCGACTGTGGAGTAATGTTGTATCAACTATAAATTTGGACTTTTTCTTGTTTTCCTCATAGAAGTAAGACTTAAGTTTTGTTTTTAAATGTAAAATTAGACGTACAATTTCAATTTAATGTTTTGCTTTCTTCTTTAATTAAGGTGCACTAGGAATTATGTTTATTGATACTTTGCAGCTGATGTCATCAATACTTCTGGGGGGATGAAGCTAACTGTAGGCACTGCTCTGTCTGAAGCTCCATTACTCAAATTAGACTTAAATCTGATCTTTGTTTGAACATAATCTGACCAGAAAGAACGGATTTAGTCAGAAATACAAAGGCGAGCAGATTTGTGCTGTTAAACGAGTCCCTCTCAAACAGGATGACCAGATTTTCAAAAGCCAAAACTGGGACATACCTGGGTTGAGATGGTTGGTATAAAGAAAATTAAATGAAAAGAGTGCGTAAAACATTGTGCATTCTCATGTCAGTCATGATCTGAGGGGCTTCTGATGCTGCATTTTTTTTTTTTTTTGCTTTGTCATTCGCAAACACGGTTTTCTGTATTCTGGCTAACAAATGACGATTTATGCTCCTTGTTACTGTTGCCAGGGATTAGATTAGTCAAAAATTGTGATAGTCCTGTTTTAGTCCTGGTTTAAACCTAATGTAGTCCTGGTTTAGACCTGATGTAGTCCTGGTTTAGACCTGATGTAGTCCTGGTTTAGACCTGATGCAGTCCTGGTTTAGACCTGATGCAGTCCTGGTTTAGACCTGATGCAGTCCTGGTTTAGACCTGATGCAGTCCTGGTTTAGACCTGATGCAGTCCTGGTTTAGATCTGATGTAGTCCTGGTTTAGATCAGATTGGTCAAAATAGAGACACCAGTTTTTGGTAAAAACTGGGACAATTCACTGGTTTTGTATAAATCTGCTGAGACAAGGGACACAGGCTCAAAACTGGGAGTGTCCTGGGTAAATAGTTTAGTCACTCTCATCTTTTTGCTGAAAATCTCCTAAACAGGACCATGAACACTCAAATTCATCAGAGCATTGTGAAAGTGTGTTGTTTAAATCCATTTTGTAGTTTTCAGACAATTTTAAGACGTTTTTGGCAGCGTTTGCTAATCATGTGTGTATTGTGTCACCATGGTAACTACTGAAAATTCCACCCTAGACATGCATGCAGTACCCCTCCAGTATGATGTCACTGCAAAGTATCAGCTTCTTTATTATTGGTTAATTATGTTAATTATTATAAGCTAGAGTTATTTTGTTGATTGATTAGCTGAGTTCTTCCTGCTATAACATGTAAACACAATAAATCAAAATAAATTCTTTTGGATCATTTTGCACAATATTGTTCTTTCATTCTCACATTTACATGTTATTTAGAGAAGTTTTAAATATTTCAAAATCCACTCTCTGAAAATTGCACTGGACCGACAGCGGATAGGTTTTTAAATGTGAAACTAGGTCAGAGAATGCTGCATCATTTTTAAAAATGTATTTCTTATTCTGTAAAACATTTTGAATTACCATACTCTGTGTACATGTTGTGCTATACAAATGAACTTGCCTTGCCTTACATCATCAAATTCTATGTTGAGAAAATGCACAGCTTTTTATACACTGAGAATATACTGCCATCTAGAGGCAAACCACTGCAATATATTTTATCTGTACGGCAGGTCAAAAGAATATTAGCAATCGAACCAACAACCACAATTGTATAAGGAATTTTAATCATTATTCTTTACAAAAATACATTATATTCTACAGCAACAATTTGTACCCACTTACATTTTTGCAGTGTATCAAAGAAACTAATTTAATAAAGTTCATCTTAAATAGGATTTTATTTTGTAAAATAAATGTAGAACATTTCAGAATAAACATTTCAGAATAAACATTTAACATAAAGGTTCATTTCCACCAATCCTGCCATACTCTACTCTCCTGCAGTCTGGAGCGTTTCCATTAGTAATTATTTACCAGAATCGGGTTTTAAAAATACTACTGGTCCCTGATTGGTCAAAGTGCTGGATGTGGTTTGTTGTGAGCAGTTTCCATGGATACAGCACCATTATATAAGTGGGGCTGAGCAGAGCGGAGCAGAGCAGAGCAGAGAGATGCTGCTGGAAAAGGGGCTTAAGATAGTCACGGGCAGATGTTTCCATATGGTTCTCACCCAACAATGTGTGATTGATTTAAACTGTATGTTCCTGACAGTTGCCTCTCTATGGTCCTCATGCAACATGTTTCCTAAAATATATTAGTCATGGGTTTCTACTTTCTTTTTAAAGATTTGTTTTTACTATTCAAAAGATATAATATTCTGTTGTTGTTAATTACTGTAGCAAAGTTGATAGTTTTTTCATCTGAAACCCAAGGATATATCATTCAGTCTCAATTTATTCATAAATCTCTGTAATACAATCTGTGTGTGGGCTAAAAGGCAATTTCCTAAACTAGAGGTATTAAAGATCATTTAAACGTCTAGTTTAAAAACAGATTTTAGTATTATATAGATATTGTATTTATTAAAAATGTCCCTCTTAGTTCCGGGTTTGGCAGCTGGACAGGATTTTGTAAACAGTATTCTCAGCAGCAGAGGTCAGAGGTTAAAGGTCACCTTTGGTCCTGGGACACACAGCGAAAGCCCAGATTTGAAGAGGAGCTATCTGGAGTGTTCTGACTTCTGGCTGCACATCTGTATCTGTAACAATACGACTGAAAACACAGAAAACACACAAGTCAGAGTTAGGTTGTAAAATACTGTATTTTATTAAGGCACCTTTAAAAGTGCAATCCTGCTACAACAAAATGAAGAAAAAATTACCTACTAGCGCAAAGAAAAACTATGCACATTAAATACTGAGACCCAAATATTGCTCCAGCTGCCACACATTGAACAGTGACTTGATATAGTAATTATGATGACAGGCCTAAAATAAACTTGTTTGATCATAAACCTCACAATTTACCAATTTTCATATTGTCATTTATATAGAAAAATAAATTAAGTTAATTTGATTCATTTCCTAGCCCTAATCCAACCACTTGGTGCTTGTGCTTCTTTCACTCCCTGCCCAAGAGTGCAATGGCTCATTTAATGTGTCCCGCCGTCATGAAACAAAGACTGTCTCCTTTTGTTTAGCCAAGTGAATGTCTGTGTATATATAGAAGTGTAAACTGAACAGGTTCAGGGCAGTATCATTACCTTGTGACACATGTAGGAGCCTCCTTTCTTCACCTTGTCTGAGCCAGATGTAGGACCAGTCTGGACATAAGAAGGAATGCATTTCAAATAAGAATAAAGCATAAAAGAAGAAGGATCCATGTGAGAAATGTAATCTCCTCACAGGGTTGGTTTGTGCGTCTGTGGTGTGATGCACACTCCACCAGTCTGAGGTCCACTCCCAGGCGTTTCCAACCATGTCGTACAGACCGAAGCCATTAGGAGGAAAAGACTTCACCTGCACAATATAAGGTCATTTGAGGTCTAAAAGAAAAAGTGCTTATAAACACATCACCACGAATAATTAGAATGCAAGCAAAGTGTTCAGAAATTGAGCTGTTACTGTGGAAAACTGCAGTACATTACATTTTTTATATTTATTCTAAAAGTTCTGATGTAGTGCCTTTAAATGTCTGGAGTTTTCTTACTGGAGACGTTTTGACAAAGCCGTCCTCTCCGGTGTTCTGTGACGGGAACTCGCCCTGCCACAGGTTTGCGTAGTGCTGTCCTTTTGGAGTCAACTTGTTCCCCCATGGATACAGTCTGAGGGAACACAACGAATATGTTTACATCAGCACATCACACACCATATGTCTGATCATGATCTGGAGTTATGAGATTGCAGTTCCTGATTCCTGTAATCTGATTTCTTTCTGATTGTTCACATACTTCAATTAAAGAGAAAAGATTCAAAATTAAAGCAGTTATTTGAAAATGTATTGCGTTTTATATTTAAAATATAACAGGTGTTTTTGATATTCACATTTCTTTTCTGTATTTAAACACACCCCAAAAATCAGATCTAATTAGTGGGTTATGTGGTTGTTGTGGTTAGCAGACCTTTGGCCCTGTTTAAATAGTTTAAGTTTAACAGATGAGTGGTCTGACAGTGCACTGAGTGGTCCCTGGACCTGTCTTTGAGTCCTCCCCGGCAGGCGCACTCCCACTCGGCCTCGGTGGGGAGTCTCTTCTGGAGCCAGGAGCAGTACGCCACAGCATCAGCCCAGGACACATGCAGGACAGGATGATCCAGTCTGGGGGTACAACAAATTACTTTTTTAGTTTATTATTGACAAATGGTACACAATTTAATGGACCTTACACTTACAAAAAACTGCTGAATTGTAGTTATCCAGTTAAAGCAAAACTAAAGTTCAGTGATAGAGCTCCCCCTGCAGCTCCCTTAAGGGAATACACTGTGAGGAAACACACCCAAAAGCCTGTTCTGTCTTTTCTTCTCTTTCAGTATAATCAGAAAACATTGCGAAATAAATAGAAAACATGTTTTTCAAGGACAATTTTCCCCGGGTTGGAGTGGGTCATATTGTAAGGCTGATTTTCTGCACAGAGACAGCAGAAGGAGATGGCTCGCCCTCTTCAAACACAACAAAAATACATATTTAACCATCACCATCATGGACTTACAAAGAGGTTTAATGAGGCCAAAATGTTACTTAGTTCTGCTTTAAGTTTAGAAACTTGTATAAAACACAACGGACTCCAGGCACTCCAAAGAAGTAAAAAAAAGTATATTTTTCCTCGTGCAATATTTAACTTTTTTTACTTCTTTGGAGTGCCTGGAGTCCGTTGTGTTTCAGTTTTGATCCTTTTTCCAAGAGCACCCTCTACCTGCTCCCACTGATTAGAACATCTGCAGCAAACAGCCACATTTTTGTTCTTTCTTCTTAGAAACTTGTATATTTATTTTTTTACCTTTGTTTCTGTGCTGGCAATATATGTCAGTAACAAAATAGACGGATAAAGAAATTCTGAATGACTGTATTGTTATGGCAACTTAAATGTCATAATTAAGGAAATGTGACTTATTCGTAATATGTCATTTAAAGCTACACACAGTTACTTTTCTGGTGAAGGCTCCCCAGCTGCTTGGCTCCATTCCACAGTATGGCATTAGAGTTATTTATCTCCATGGAGACAAGCAGGTATCGACACCAGGATATATTACATGTCAGAATGTTTAATGCCATTCTGTGGAACATTCCAGACAGAGCAATAAAAGCACCTTTAAACCAGATATTTACCTTTCTAAAATGTCTGAGTCTTTCCCTTCAGGGTGTCTCCAGTTTGCCCCTTTCACCGGCAACCACCAGGGGGCAGCAGCCACCTAAAAAACACACAACCAAACAGTCAACCATACAGATATTTGTTAAAAAAATGTTTGTGGGTGAGTTTATAGTAAATTTAAATGATATAATTTGGGGAAAACAATCACAATCGGCCCTACATATCAACACAAACAAATCGGCAGAGCGTATCGGCCATAGGTTTTCTTAATTGTAAACAATGGGTACCATCATCGGCCATGGCAAAACAAAAAACAAAAAAACATATTGATCGATCTCTAGTAACAAGATTCTAGACAAGATAAAACAATGAAGTAATTATGTCAATGAAAAATACTAATACAAATACAAGATGCAACGTTTTCTGATTTTCCTGATCCTATTCCCACTTTCTGATCCACCAGACAAGATGAAATGGAGCTTTAAATCCCCATCTGTCTGGACTTCGTGGATGGTTGAAATCCTGCAGTTACTTTTTCAAGTCCCTCTTAAAAAACGACATGCCTAAAACGTCTCAGTGAATCCTCCGTGACAGAAACACATTCACGGGTTCTTGAGGCGAGTTCTTGAAATACTTCCTGCTGACAGTGCGTAGAAAATATGACTTTTTAGACAGTGCACAGATCATAAAGAAGCACGAAGATGAAAGAAGCCATAGGTGTTTAATGATAATAAGACCAAGGGAATTCACTTTTGAAATATATGGCACCAAGATCTAACGAGAAGTACTACACCTACTACACTGACCACCTGCTTGTCTCCATGGAGTTGGACGCAGCTCCATGGGGACAGCAGTTGTGGCAGAATGTTCCACAGTATGACATTAAACAGCTTTCCTTACATTTATTCAATTACAGATGGTTTTATAGCTCAAAAATATTAAATACTTAACAAAACAAGGATTCTGACTGTGAGCGGGTCGCCTCTCCCCAGATCTGACCTGTAACCTGGTCTGGTCTCTATGAAGATAGCCCAGAAACCTGATTGATCTAGAGAAGATCTGTGTGGAGGATTGGGCCAAAATCCCTCCTGCATTGTGTGCAAACCTGGTGAAAAACTACAGGAAACGTTTGACCTCTGTAACAAACAAAGGCTACTGTACCAAATATTAACATTGATTTTTTTCAGGTGTTAAAATACTTATTTGCAGCTGTATCATACAAATAAATAGTTAAAAAATCATACATTGTGAGTTCTGTATTTTTATTTTTTTTTCAGATTATGTCTCTCACAGTGGACATGCACCTACGATGAAAATTTCAGACCCCTCCAATGATTTAGTCTGTCTCCATGGAGCTGTGTCCATCTCCATGGAGACAGCAGTTGTGGCAGAATGTTCCACAGCGTGACATTAAACAGCTTTCCTTACATTTATTCAATTACAGGTGGTTTTATAGTTCAGAAATACTTAAATACTTAAAAAACAGACATTCTGACTGTGAGCGGGGTAGCCTCTCCACAGATCTGACCTGTAACCTGGTCTGGTCTCTATGAGGATAGAAAGGTTTAATGCCGTACTGTGAAACATTCCAGACAAAGCAATAAGAGAAAAGCATTTGACAGATCCATTTAACACACATTTAACGTGTACAAATATAAGTACGCAGTTTATTGCCTAACATTTGTACGTACTAACTCAAGTCAAAGTGAAATGCACAGGTTTGAAAGGCATGTTTTTACTAAGAAAACTAAAACAAAAACACTCACCGCTTGGCTTATCTCACTCTTGACAGCCTCGCTCAGAATTCCCTCAAAGACGAATGAATCTCCAAACTTCTCTGCCTGGAAGATTCACGGAGGAACAGATATTCACAATATAAGGAAGGGAAAATACCACACTAATAATATCTATAATGAAGAATGTAAACACGTTCATTTCACGTGATTTAGTTCTGTTCACATGTTCATTCTACAGCCAAAGCAAACAATGTAACTGTGTGTGTGTGTACAGAGTGTCCCAAAAACATCTGACATCATTTCAGAGGCCAATAATGTTGACAATTCTTGTTGAAATAACCTCAAATTCTTACAGAATATATATAAACAGATCAAGAATTTATATTTAATGTTTTATTTCTGTTCTGTTTTCAGGTTGAGCTGATCACTCCCAAAGAGAAATCATTTTGTGTCTTGGAATCTGCTGTACACACTCACCCAAGACTATGCAGCTTCATTGCAACATTTGGAAAAACTTCACCAACTGACCAACAAATTTGAACTTGGTACCAAAAATTTAAAGAGGATGACTGTTTATGCAGGACTAAAGGATCACATACGCGTGCGAGCAGATTTCAAGATGAGTTAGGGCAGTGAAAAATATGGGTAAAAGATTAAATCTAATTTTTTTTTCCCGAAATAATCAAAATAATTTTTTCTTATATTGACCAATCTTAATTTTCCACTTAATTTTGTTTAGGCTTTTCAAAAACAAAATAAATAAGGCTTTTATTGCAGATTTCACGAACATAAATGATTTACCATTTGTCTGCACCATTAAACATATTTCAGTTTCTTTCTTTAATGTCTGAACTCCAAAGCACATACTTTTACAGACAGAGGATTGGTTGTAGACCTCCTGGTTAAATAACCCCAACCATATCATTGACAAGCAGACATGACTGAATCTCTCAAGTTTCTGGCTGTGTCTCATTTCTCATTTCTTCCTTCTCCTTGATTCCTCTCCTTGATCCTCCATTTTTCAGCTGTCAGTCAAATGTGTCATATAAAGTGGTGTTCCAAAGAAAACCACAGAAGGAAGGAGTAAACCTGAGGGAGGCTTCAGGAGCAGACACCAGAGAAAAAAAATCTAACTTTATTGGTCTCAGTGAGGAGTTTAGATCCTCTCTCCTCACTGTGTCTCCTCTGTGAGCAGAACTTCTTCACCCATTTCCTGCAAAATCGAGGAGAGGAATCAAGGAGAAGGGAACGAGGAAAGAAATGAGAGGCGGTTGTCTTCTGGTTTCTCTGACCAGCCCTAGCAGTGGCAGCAGACTACCTCAGTGACGTAGCGTGTAGCATTGACAAAGCTCTGGAACTGTCTGTTGGTGACTTCCTGGACGTCCATGAAAAAGGGGTCTATGTGGACGAGTCTCTGAGGCCCCTCTCCATCTGCGAGGATCCCCGGACTGTCTGTGCCCATCAGGAACTCTCCCCCCGGAACCAGGACCATCTGAGAGGGACACAGCAGAGTGCGTGTAACAGATTTGTATGATTCTCAAATTTTGATTTAATTTGGGGGATTAAGATGTGTGTAGAATCCCTCTTCCAGGCAAAGGACAAATTCAGTATTAGCATAATCCTTCAGTCAGCATCATCACTCATGAAAGGCGTAAATGATAATGTTAATATGAACCACACTCAGCTGGGCCTAGTCATCTGTACTAACAAACACAAACTGTAAACAAGTAGATGTGTTAGTTTCAGAGTAGTTTCAGTGTAGTTAGCTCCTCCTGCAGACAGATATAAGACAGTGATCACCAGCGTCTGACCACAACAGCAGAAGCAGCTTGGATGTGAAACATTTTCCACCTAAATAAACGTTTGTCCAGTTGACAACTTGAATTTCTCATTTGCCTTGGGGGATTAATAATTATTGTAAATATAAAGTATAGTTTTACATAATCAAGAAGCAATTTGCAATGAAAAGTTGAAAAATATGCTGAAAATTACAGGAAATAGAGAGTTTAAAACACATTGATGACATCACCCAAGGTAGAATTCAATCCAAAACTCAGGCACAATTTACATGCAAGAAACTTTTTTTTTTTCTGAAACACGAAACATGATTTCAACTAAATAAAAGAGCTTCATTTGTATTTGTCAGACATTAATTTCTGTGTACATTAGAGGAGCTTTGCTTTGTAACGAGGGGTGTGCAAAAATATAAAAATTTCGATATATCGTATCGTTTCATGTGATGATGCAGTATCGATATCGTGGGCTGCTGTAAAGATATATCACGAGTATTTTTTGGTATATTTTACTAAAATATTTTGTTACAGCTACAGTTTTGTTGCTTGTTCAGTGGAAGGAAACTTATTTATGCGACACATTTGACATTTTCACTGTTTTGATGATTAAAATGTTTGTGTTTCATATGAACTTTGCACAAGAAGTGGTTTAACAAACACTTTTAGTATCACAGACATGATTTAGCCTTTATTTTTTATTGAACTGTATTGAATCGATTTGAAATATATCATATCGAATCGAAGGTGCACTGTATCAAGATATGTATCGTATCGTGGTCGATGTATCAAGGTATATATCATATCAACTTCTTAATGACACCCAGTCCTGTATGTAACAGTTATGGAATTCCCTAGTGTGATGTCACTATTTCCAATCAGGAAGTAAAATTGTAAACCTAAAAAATGGCCAAATTGGGGAATAGAGTGTGAATGTTTGTACAAAAATCTTCAATATAATGATCTTAGCTGTGTTTTAGTCAAATGAGTCATCTAATCTGTCCTAGACATTTTAAATAATGAGGCACAACAAGCTCAACACAAGAAACTCTAGTAAAGATGCACCATGTAACTTTTTAGGTAAAGGTCTGCCATGGAGATGCTGGAGATGGTCTTGCCAGAAATGTTCCAGAGCACTTCATTAAACTTATATATCTTGCATGTATTCAGTCGGAAGTGTTTTCACTGCTAGAAAAAGAAGTCTTCTTGCTGTCCACAGATCTGACCTGTCAGTTGGTTTGGTGGTTTTACTTGCTTGTCTCCATCTACAATAAATACCTTTAATGCCATACAGTGGGACATTCTAGGTAAAGCAATAACATCTCCAAAAACAGAGTAAATTCTTTAGTCACTCCCTAAAATGCAGGTGACTCCATACCTACTCCTTCTTTCACAGCTCACAGTCCTAATAATGATAATAATAATAATATGACAATGGTTTCCTCAAGGCTGGGAACTGCAGTCTGGCCCTGGAGTACAACAGACTCAATGAATCAAATTCTAAACAATTCACAGTCAGCAGAAATGGACCAAGGACAGCTCAAAATAACTGCCTGAAAAAGAGTGTAGTGAGAGGACAAGAGCTAAACTAGAATAATTAGGATCACTGAAGTATGAAAGGAAAAAACTAATGTAAAGCTCTTTCAGATTTTAAAAACAGGAGGCTACTTGTATATTTATTACTTACTTTTCTTTATTTCTTTACTTTTATTTTTCTGTATACCTGTTACTGGCATTTCTACACTTTGCCCAATGACCAGGGACTAAAGTTGGCCAATAACATTTTTATATATCGTACAGGGCGTCCCAAAACATTTGACATCATTTCACAGGCCAATAATTTTGGTAATTCTTGTAGAAATAACCTCCAATTTTCACAGAATTTATAGAAACAGATCAAGATTTTATACTGAATGTTTTATTTTTGTTCTGTTTTCAGTTTGAGCCGTTGACTCCCGAAGAGAAGTCATTTTGTGTTTTGGAATCTGCTCGCACAGTCACCCAAGACTGTGCAGCTTCAATGCAACATTTGGAAAAACTCCACCAACTGGCAAACAAATTTAGACTTGGTCCCAAAAATGTAAAAAGAAGGCTGTTTTTGCAGGGCTAAAATGCGAAATGATATAATTTTTTGGGACACCCTGTATAACCTGTTAATTATTAATGAATGACTATGTAATAAAACAAATCTACAAATCTGTTGAACTGATCACAGTGAAATAGATTATTTAATTTACTGTCATTAAACTTCCATTATTGACGTTGCATAATTGATGATGACATTATTTTCTGGTAAACAAGTTGTATTGTATTGTGTATAACTAAAGATTTCCTATGTAACTTTACTGTAGTGTCCTCCATCTGCTTGTCTCCATGGAGATGTTATTGTTTTGCTGGGACAGTCCCACAGTAAGGCATTAAATGTACCTTTTGCGTGTAGCGTATTGAGGTAGAGGTGTTGTTAATGCTAAAAAAAAAAAAAAGAAAAAAGAAAAACATTAATTCTTACTTTGAGCAGTTGCCTCTTCACAAACCTGACCTGTAACTTGGCCTTGAGGTGAGTAGTTTGTCCAAATGAAAATAGACTTTAATGCCAAACTGTGGAACTTTCCAGATTCCAAAATTTCAAAACTTATATCAGGTTATTCATCTTGTTTTCAGATTTATTATCTACTTACTAGTTCTGAGATGCTTACTTCTAGTCTAGAGGTCGTTTATTTTAAGAGAATTTGTCAAATAAAATGATCTTGCTGCATGAACAGATCATTTCACTACTTTTAAGTCACTTTCTGATTAATTGAAGTGTTTATATCTTAATTTTGGCCAAGCTTTTTTGCAGTGGGTTGGTTGGTAATAATACAATTGTGAAACGAATGTGTAATTAAGAAAAACTGTGCTGTTCTGTTCATTCATGACAAACATGTGAGTCAGTACAGTCACATTTTCTTTGTGTTTTGGTCATTTTTAAGCAGCTTTTCTGTATTTTACCTAAACAAATGACAGTTTATGCCTCTTTTTAAGGTTGGCAGGTTTCAAATTGGTCAAAGATAGGGACACCTGGGACATTTCTTGGGACAAATCACTGGTTTTGTATAAATCTGCTGGGACAGGGGACACAGGCTCAAAACTGGGACTGTCCCGGGTAAACAGGGACGTCTGGTCACACTAATCTCCATTTGGCAGACACCCCCAACCTGAAAAGTTACACAGTGCACCTTTATTATAACTTACCTCACTGCTTTTCTGTTCAGTGGTGGGATGTTCCGTCAGATTTTCATCCACATGTTGGGAGTATTTGACAGCCGGGTTCTCCGTGTCTCCGCTCTCCTCCGGATCTGCGGCTCTTTTCAGGTTTCCACAGCCGCAGCTCGATGCTTCTGCCCGGGTTTGACTTTGTGACTCTGCCCCGCACGAAGCATCCTGACAGAGGCCGGAGTGTGCAAAGATAAGCGCCAAAAACACGAGAAAAGTGCGCAGCATCGTTGTGAAAGTGCTCAGGTTGTGCTCATGTTGTTGTAAAATACTTCCGCATTGTCACGTGGTCCGTCAGCTGGGTGAAAAATTTAACTGTTTCCTCCCCGGAGAGAATAAAAAAGTGTATTTATCATAAAATAAAACAAAATAAAACTGGTAAAATGTTTTATGAATTTTGTGACAGAATTACTGTAATTTTATTTTTTATTATTATTTTTATTTATTTATTTTTAATGAATTTATTTATTATTATTATTATTTATTATTATTATTATTATTATTATTATTTATTTATTTATTTTTATTTTTTTACCGTTTTACTGTTTACTTCGATTTTATTAATTTTTACCAGTTTACTTACAAAATTAAATGAAAAAGAGTCAAAATTGATGCTCTTCAAGCAGGTTTAATTTCATTCTATATTTTTATTTTCTTTATTTTATTAGTCTATTATAAAATGAAGCTAGTTCTACTATTTTATTAGGCCATGACATGAGTCATGATATAAAATTACTTATACCTGTAATTAGTTAATCAAAAAAAAAAAAAAAAAAAAAAAAAGGAAAATGTGAAAAGTGAAATGGAAGGTTTGGTGTCTTGATAAAGCATGTGTTCTAAAATAAATACTTTTTTTTTTTTTTTTTTTTTTTTTTTTTTACATTGGAATTACAAGTAATATCTAATGATAGCAATGCAATATAAATATAAAAATTAAATCAAATAAAGGTCCTGTGACAATATCTGATTTCACCTTTTATAAAAATATAACTAAGATTTACATAGAAGTGAGTGAAAGATTTACAGCACAGATGCACACAGTTAATCATAGCCTGTTGTGTCCTATAATTCAATAGACAAACATAATACAATTAATGTTAAGCTACAAACAAAACAAGTACTATAACTTAATTAGCACACACATAGTAGAAACAAAGCACATTTTTAGCACACATTTTCTGTTTCCTTGGTGACGGGTTGGAGTGAACATCATTTCCCAGACATCCCCAGTCCGTCCGTGCGCTCTGCAGCCAAGAGCGGCACAGCGCCAGAGAGCCGATCCTGCGCCGAGTCCGCGCCGAGTCCGGGGGAAGATAGCGCCTGTTCAAGTCAAGCACAGCCGAGGAGCGGGCACGGGCTGCGGGCTAACACATCTGCCATCCCCCGCTGTACGACCTCCGGACAACCCTGGAACTATTACCACCGCGACACCGAGAGATCCAACTCCTCACACGCCGAGGAAGGAGTGAGAAATGCCCGCGTCCTAGCTCCTCCGTGTACCGCTGATCTACAACTGCACATCCGAGGGCTTTGCGACGAGCGAGGTAAGAAAAAAAGCAGAAGTTTTGCTCGGTAACTTATTTCACATTTTCTGCAGGCTACGCCATATTTAAGCTTTGCATCTAGTTAAAAAGAGCTCATTTTTGTTCCCAAACTTCACTTTTACTTGGTATCGATGAGAAAGTGTTAAAACTGGTTCTCATACATTACTAAACATCACGGATGGTTGAACAAATTTGACACACGCCTGTTTTTGTAAAGACTTCCACTTTTGTGAACATTTCACGTGTTGAAACACTTTTATCACTTGTAGCTGTAGGCGACTGCACCGGGCTGTGTGCTGTACTCTGTGCTTTACTCTGAGCTTTATGTAACTTTCTGCTGCTTGTGTCAGACTCGTGCTTGGTGCCAGTGCTTTCTTTCCCACACATTAAAGCTACCTGCCACTGAGACAGGTGCAGGTGCATGGAGCTTAGCCACATTCTATTATGTGTCTGCTGGGCCTAATTATTAACTTGTCCATATTAACTCAACCATACAGTGTCTGGGATACTCACTGTAATGGGGTATTATCATTCCAGTAGGTCAGTAATGTTGTGGTCTTCATTTGGCACGCTGTAGGCCAACTTTTGTTATAGTTTAGACTTCTTAAAGACACTGTTGTAGAAGTTTTCAGCTTGTCCAAGAAAGGGTGGAAATAAAAGGCTGAAGACCAAATGGATGTCTTAAGCAGGAAAAGTTTATTTATCATCAATAATAGAGGCTGAGAGGGATTTGAAAAGTCAACATAGTATGATTTCAAAAGTGAACATAGTTTGATCTTTGAGTGTTCAAGCCCCTTTACTCTGCTTCCTGAGGAGGAGGTTTATAAAGCAAGTGTGGTGAGACTATGAAGAACAGTAGACACCAGTTAGACACTGGTTGGACTGGAGTAATATGCCACAACTGAGATACTAGTATGTCAATGGTACGCCAAGGGAAGATGATCATGTTATAACACAGGCATAGATCATGTTATAACATAGGGATAGATCATGTTATAACATAAGTATAGACCATGTTTTAACATAAGTATAGATCATGTTATAACATAGGTATAGATCATGTTATAAAATAGGTATAGATCATGTTTTAACACAGGCATAAGCCCTATTTGCACGGGATAAGTACAACCTGGGGACGTGTGGTAATTTGTAAATTACTGCCCCATGTCTGTGTTACTTGCAGCACATTCGCACGGGTTAAGCGAAGTCCGTAAATTATTCTGTTTTACTAATAGTACAACCAGATATGTCGTAACATCATAACATCATATCGGCTTCTATCTCTTTCACGACTAGAAAGAGACTAGACCAGTACTAGACCAGGTCTAAACCAGGACTGGATCAGGACTGGTACAGGACTGGACCGGAACTAATCCAGGACTGGTATAGAATTGAGACTAAACCAGGACTTAAGCAGGACTAAACCAGTGTCGATCTAGCGGGCTGAGTTGTGCAGATCGCTCCTCTTCCCTGGTTCTCAGTGTCGATCTAGAGGGCACTAGATCTACCCCGATATAGAGGATATACTGTAGCCTAGCTAGTTATTACTTAGTTATATTATTTAAAATGTTCCTTAGCGCTTGCTGCACCACATGTCATCCAGGCCATCGTCCTGTGAGAATTGTCTCTCTTCTTGGACTTCTTCCCGTTTCTGCAGATCGGTTTACATATAGTGCAATACAGGGCCGTATTAGAATTTGCCCCTAAAAAGATCAAAACTGCTAATCCAAATTTCTACCGCAGCCTAAATATTCAAGCCGGAAAGAGAGAGAAAAGGCGTGAGGCAACTACCACAACAAACACTGAGATGCAGATTCGCACGGGAGTAGTTTTATCACCAGACGTCTGTGTTTGGCGAAATATAGTAGGTCATTTGCGGTGTCATTTTTACTTTACAAATTACAGACATGGCGCAGTCATACGGGAAGATCTGAAGAATCCTCCTGAATTATTACAATTCACCAAAGGTCCACAGGTCAAACTAATCCCGTGCGAATAGGGCTTTAGATCACGTAATAACATAGGTGTAGATCATGTTATAGTTCCTGTGAGTACCGGTAAACTGCGAGATGTACAGAGAGGATAAATTACTTAAATTCTCTTACAGTATGTACTATGGAACATTCCAGACAATGCAAAGCGACAGGTGGCTAATCCTGAACCACGTTACTAAAGTGACTAAACTGCACTTTTAACTGTACACAGTGTCTCCTCAAAGAGACTACGGAGCTCATATGTATGCTCATAATTCTAACATGCATAATATTAATAATATAATAATAGTAAAAATGTATTACTCTAAAATAATAGGCCTGTGAGCACTCTTTGTTGCTTTACGATCTCAGACATTCTTCTTTCATCTCAGCCGCCTTGGGGCAGATTTACGGTAGCAAGGTTGCCAATCTCCTCCATCAGCTCCCTCCAGCCAATAATCATTCCCAGCACAGATACACGAGGGTGGTGTGAATGTGTCTTGCTCAGGGACACCTCAGTAATATGTACTGGTCAGAGGTGGAGCATTGTTTAGACCTGGTTTTAAATTATCTTTCATGTTTCTCTTTTCACTTCTTCATTTTTATACCAGCTTTTGCCCTGAGTTAAAGGTTGTATGGAGGATTTTTTTTTGTTTCAAATTGTCAGTGAAATTGTCATCTTTCACTGATAATTTTAGTTTCAAATTGTCATTGAAAGATGCAGCAGCCTTGTAATTATAATGACCAAAAAAAAAAACAAACAATGAAAATCTGTCAACTGTGGATGTAGTGAGGCCAGATAAACATCAGCCAATAGAAAACAAGACTGCCTCATTTTCTATTGGCTGTTAGGTTGTCAATCAAACTCCCTACATTTCTAGTGTAACTGACTCGACAGCGCACGTGGATTATGTGCTTTATGCAGCGGTTCTTAGAGGCTTTTTCAAACTGTAGCTTGCTCGCAATTCACACAAAGTTTGTTGCGATCGCGGATGAGAATCGACGACCAGTTCGCCGCAAAAGAAAGTTCGGTTTTTGAGGTGGCTGAAAGAAGAAGAGAAGGGGAAAAGGAGCGAAGACAAACTGAGGTGATTCTTGGAGATTCAGTGATGGCGCAACTGACGAAGATGAAGGGTCTAAAAACTGACGCGTCGGTCGCTAAAATATTTCTCGACAGGTCACTTCAACAGTAATTCTGAACGTGCACTGGATGTAAACAAGCGTGATTTCTATAGTAAAGAGGTGGTGTCACGCATGCACAACATTTGAAAAAGGACTGTCGCTGTATTTCACTTCCCTTAAAAAAATCCTCTATACAACCTTTAAGCTCCTCTTAATTTAGCCATACCTCAAATAAATACACTCACTTTGACACTTGAATAATGCGATCACACGTCTCTGTAGGCCTAGTATTGTCACACTGCAATCGATGGTGTATCACAGATAACAGAAGCAGACTTCCTTTTAGTCAAATGACCAGCAGAGCACCTGTGGGGGAGGCCTGTCTGTCAACATGGTGCTGCCAGGGACTGGAACTCAACTCCACATGTCAACTAGAGTTCACTACACCGAGCACAGAGCAGAGCGATGGGGGGGCATTTCTCGTTGCAGTTTGTCTGAAAAGTATTGTGATTTGTGATTGATGATAATATTGGTTAGTTAATAAGTTTGGTTCATCAGCAACATAACTTAACAATTGGCGTTTTATTATTAATCCTCTCCAGGCAGGCGTTGCAGATTTGCAACAGCTAAATTCCAAGTACCTACTTACTCCACATCCATATTATATGAGCTTTTTTTACTCAGGAGCCTTTTTTCCCATCCATGCTGATAAACGTGGACGATGCAGACTGTGCAAGAATGGCTACACGCAAACGGCCTGCCAGAAGTGCAAAATACTTTTTTTGTTTACAAAGGATAAAAAAGTCAGAATTGTATATTACTACCCCATATTATAATTTTCCCCAAATATCAGATTTTTCCTGATACTAAAAATTAATTTGAGCCTGAGAGGGTTAAAGGTGCGTTGTGTCACTTTTCTGGTAAAGGGTCTGCCACCTGCTGCTTTCACCACACACACAGAGAGAGAGAGAGAGAGAGAGAGACAGAGAGAGAGACACAGTGAACAGAGAGAGAAAGAGATAGAGAGACACACACACTCAGACATACTGTAGAGAGAGACACACAGAGAGAGAGAGAGACAGGAGAGAGGCACATAAAGAGAGAGAGACACAGAGAGAGAGAGAGAGAGAGAGAGAGACACATAGAGAGAGAGACACACACACACACAGACATAGAGAGAGACACAGAGAGCGAGAGACAGGAGAGAGGCACACAAAGAGAGAGAGAGCGAAAGAGAGAGAGAAACACAGAGAGAGACAGGGAGACAGAGAGAGAAAAAGAGACATAGAGAGAGACACAGTGAGAGAGAAACACAGAGAGAGAGAGAGACAGGAAAGAGGCACAGAGAGAGAGAGAGAGAGACAGAGAGAGAGAGACATAGAGACAGAGAGAGAGAGAGAGAGACACAGTGAGAGAGAAACACAGAGAGAGAGAGACAGAAAGAGGACAGAGAGAGAGAGAGACACAGAGAGAGAAAGAGAGAGACACGCACAGAGGGAGAGTGAGAGACAGAGAGAGAGACAGAGAGAGAGAAAAGAGAGAGACACAGTGAGAGAGAAACACAGAGAGAGAGAGACAGGAAAGAGGCACAGAGAGAGAGAGAGCGACACAGAGAGAGAAAGAGAGAGACACGCACAGAGGGAGAGTGAGAGACATAGAGAGAGACAGAGAGAGAGAAAGAGAGAGATACACACACACACACACAGAGACAGAGAGAGACACACACACAGACATACACAGAGAGAGAATGGGACTGTGAGAGAGAAAGGGGTGGGCATAGAAATGAAGAGAGACAGAAAGACACAGTAAAACAGACGAAAGAGACGGACAGAGAGAGAGACAGAGAGACCGGGGACAGAGAGAAAGATGGAGACAGAGAGGGAGACGGAGAGAATAGGGGTGGGGCATACAAATTAAGGAACAGAGAGACATGTGCATTGTGTAACCTTTCTGGTAAAGGGTCTGCCACCTCCTGCTATCACCTGGCAACCATGTCACCATGACGACGAGCAGGTGACAGACTCTCCTCCAAGGACAGTTCTACAATCAGATACTACAGCAATGACTTACTATTGATTTAGGCAGCATTATTTGTTATTATGAACCTAATCAATAAAACATGGACACTATAATCGTTGTGTTGTGAATAATAGAAATAATGTCCAATCAGAATGGACAAATAAACATAAATTACACAAATAATGATAAAGTGACTGTGACAGTGTAGATGAGGAGGTGACCGGGAGTTTTATGGGTTGAGGGGTCAAAAAAGAGAATTAACCCTCAGCAACTGTTGATTAGGCCTGTAATGATAATCAATAAATCAATAAATCAAATCATTGCATAACTTTTAACAAGGTCAATAACTTTTCCGCCTGCGATAATTTCTATTTGCATGTTTGTTTGTTTTCCTCGTCTTTCTCGCTCTTACCAAAGAGACTGAATGTCAAAAGCAGGGGTGTCAAGACTCATTTTGGTCCGGGGGCCATATCCTACGGAAGCCGAGAGGGGTCACAACAAATGCAAACGCCGCAACAAATACAAATGCGACAACACAACAAAAAGCCACAACAGAAGTGACTGTTTTCCAATGGACCGATCAAGCGGCAAGTGAAGAAGAAGAACTACAACGTGAAACGAATAATAAAACAATAAATTACTTTTATTTACGTTTCCAACTTCTCGTTCCTTTACTTTTCACATTGTAGTTCTTCTTCTTCACTTGCCACTTGATCGATCCGTCGGAAAATAGAGTCCCGCGGTTACTTCCGTTGTGGCTTTTTGATGTGTTGTGGCTTTTTAATGTGTTCCGGCATTTGCGTTTGTGTTGTGGCGTTTGTATTTGTTGCGGCGCTTGCATTAAAACAGAGTCCCGCGGTCATTTCCATTGTGGCTTTTTTTGGTGTGTAGTGGCTTTTTGTGGTGTTGTCGCATTTGTATTTGTTGCAGCGTTTGTGTTTGTTGTGACCCTTCCCGGCTTCCGTAATATCCAACCTACTTTGATCCCAAAGGGGCCGGATCAGAAAACTCATGGCATATATATATATATATATATATATATATATATACCCCAAAAATAACAATAAGTTCAAATATTTATGCAGAGAAACACAAATCTATTACAGAAATCTTTTTTAATTGATGAACTCTTTCTTTTATAAAATATTATAATATTACGAACAACCTGAAACTTTAAGAAAAATGCAATTTCAACACAATGTTTTAACATGAACTTGTATGTAAATAGGAATAAGTCTGTTTTTCTTGAAAAATCCTGCACTTTGCTCCACTTTTCTCATTTTGGACATTTTGCTGATGAGGGTGTCACGATCAACAGTCAAAACGATCGTCCTTTAAGAGCGTTTGGAAAGAGACAAGTCTTCATTTGTGCTGCTCTGGTGGGAGGGGCCACGCACAGAGGCGCTGGAGACGCTGCTATGATAAACACCACAGAAAATTAACAATATTTTAATAGAAAATATAATTCAAATATTTTAGTAGAAAATCAGCCGAGGGCCAGATTAAAGGTCTTGGAGGGCCGGATCCAGCCCCCAGGCCGTATGTTTGACACCCCTGGTCTAAAGGCTTCTGTCACTCTGTACTGACTCCTCTTTTCTCATCGTAATGACGCTTGAACAAACGTCACCCACCGAGTTCAGCACCACTCAAATGAAGCTCGTGAGGTGAAGTTACAGGACCGAATTTGAGGCGAGGCTTTACATTATGAATAGGATTTTCTGACAGACAAAATAGCGAAACAGTGAAATGTAAAGCGGGTTAATACGAACATTTTAAGACCAAAATGCCGAGGCTCACAGCAGCAGTTACAGAGAGAGGAGCCACAATATTCCAATGCAAATCAATGACTAAATTAACTTTTAAGGGCATTTTTTGTTACAGACACATAATCCATTTTATTGGTTGTTTTGGTTGTCTTTGGTTCAACAATGGCTTCTTCAATCAAGTGCATTTTTGTAAACAAGTCTTTGCTGTGAGCCAGACTACATTAGCCTATTCTTATGTGAACAAGTCTATTACATTTAGGCCTATTGTTTTTGTTTGTCTTACAGTTCCTGTGTTCAATGTTTTTTAGAAAGTCAAGTTTATTGATCTTTGAAAGGGTGTATTTGCATTTTTAGTCCATTGTCATTATATTAGATGAAACTGGTCTCAAAATGTCAATAGTATCGTTTATCGCAGTAATTTATTGGTCAATTAAATGTTTTAAATGAATATTATAATTGTACATCCCTTGTACTTGCCCTGGTCCTTGTATATGGTCAAAATGTATTTGTTTGGAGGATAAGCTCCTTGAGACATCTCTCTCTATCTCGTTTTCGAGGGGTCCTCATAGTTACAACAACAAAAGACAGATACAGTAGGGCAGACAGGAGGATACAGAAATTCACATAAACATCAAAACAATAAAATCAACACAACCACAAACACACAAATTTGAACAAAAACCTAAGACAGAGTTCAAAGATAATCAAAAAATACACCAAAATAAACTACAAAATTCAGCAAAATGATCAAAAACAATGACATCGGTTCTGTAAAGATTGAACCAGAACATTTTTAAATGAAGGGACAGAAGTTAATGCTCGAATCAGTGAGGGAAGGGAAGATTGTTCCAATCAGAAGGAACTTTATATTTAAATGAGTGTTTTCCTATTTGTTTTTTTGACTCTTGGGACAACAAAAAATATCTGATCTGTGTGACGTAAACTGTAAGAGGATCAGAATGGGAATTAAATATTGTTTGAAATCTTCAGGAGAACCGAGGTTAATGCATTTAAAGATAAATAATAACAGTGAAGTTGGTGTTGGGAGGACAGAGTGAGCAGCACAGCTGGTGATACATCGTACAGTGGTGAGTTCTGAAGGGACAGTGGAGAATGAATCTGCACAGACTATTTTAGATAAACTTTGAGTGGTTGGAGGATAGAAGTTGTGGTATTTTGATAAATGACATCACAGTAATGTAAAATGGTAAGAATTAGTTGTGAGATCATCTTTTTCCTGACAGAAAAGCTAAAACAATTGATGGACTGATAAAGTCATTTTAAACTGTATGAAACTTGGTTTGTAAAAGCTTGTCAAGCATAAACCAAGATATTTACATTTATCAACTGCTATAATTGGTGATGAATCAGTAAGTGTCAGATTTATATCATTAACAGAAAAAGGACGGATTCGTTTCTGAAACAACAAAGTATGATTTAGATTCATTAAGTAGTAGTTTGTTAGACTGTAGCAATAATTGAACAGTATTAAAGTCATGTTGAATTGAGGATTGAATATCAGTAATATTAGCTCTGGATCAATAAATGACTGTATCATCAGCATGGAGTTGGATATCACAGGCTGTGCAGGCAATGGGAAGGTCATTAATAAAAACAGAAAATAAAAGGAGACCCGGTGAGGAACCTTAAGGCACACCTCTCTCTATTGTGGAAAAATCTGAAAAGCTGCCTTTAAAGAAAACACATTGTTGGTGATGATGAAGATATGAGTTAAACCAAAGGAGAGCGGCCCTGTCATTATCCAGTAGCAGATAATGTTCGACCATATAAAAAACTTTGGTGACGTCAATAAATAAAGCACCAGTTAACAGATTATTGTCAAAACCCGAGAAAATATCATTGGTAAATTTTAGTAAAGCAGAAGTTGTTGAGAAGTACTTCCTAAAACCGGACTGAAATGAAGATAGAAGATTATTTTTAGATAAATATTCAGACAGCCCATTTTAATCCTCAAAATAGGTGAAAATGTCAAATGTGTCACATGAAAAAGTTTCCTTCCTCTAAATAAGCAACAAAACTGGAGCACTGAAACTAAATAATTTGGTAAAATATACCAAAAATCAATCTTGGTGATATATCTATAAAGCAGCCCAGGATATCGATACTGTATCATCATATTAAACGATACGATATATTGATATTTTGATATTTTTGCACAGCCCTCTTGGTCTATACTTTGCTGGGGTCGCTCCCTTTATGGAGGAGTATAATCTTTACACATTTCCACGCAGATTTAACCTCACACGATCTAAAAGACATGTTGAACAGATCAGTCAAAGGGGAGCGAAGAACATGGGACACAAATTTAATAAACTTGGCTTCAATACCATCTGGACCAGTGCTACTGTGCAAAGAGAGCCCATTTATGGCCTGGTGCACATCAACCACGCTGAACATTTGAAAAGAGAAAGTGCTGCCAGTGGTCATCATATTATTAAAAAAATACAGAATGAGGAGGGGACTGCACAAGTATTTGACCTGTTTTTTTCTTGGGGTGGACTCAGACCTCTTTAATATTTTGGATAACGTTCTGTCTCTGTCCCAGTGTCCCATCGGCTGTGAACCATGTCGGATAAAATGTCCAGTTTCCTGCACATCGGGGACATCTGCTCCCTGTACGCCGAGGGCTCCACCAACGGCTTCATCAGCACCCTCGGGTGAGTAATCTCCTCCAACCTCCTTCTTCTCCTTCTGTCTTTACGGGTTTTTCTCCTCCTTTCCTCCCTCTCTCCTCCGCTTCTCCTCCTTCTCTCTGGCTCTCGTCCACTCCTCTTTCTCTGTGTCTTTTATCCTCCCTCTCTCCTCTGTTTCTCCTTCTCTCTCCTCTCCTCTTTCTTTGTGTCTTTTCCTCCTCCCTCTCTCCTCTCCTCCTGTCCTCCTCTCCTTCTCTCGTCCTCCCCTCTCCTCCCCTCTCCTCTCCTCTCCTCTCTTCGTCCAACGGTTTCATCAGCACTCCCGGGTAAGTCCTGTCCTCCTCTCCTCTCCTTGTCTCTCACCCTCCTCACTTCTCTCTTCCTCCTCTCTGTCCTCTTTTCTCTCTCCCTCTCTTCTCTCCTCCCTCTCTCTTCTTCTCCTTCACACCTCCTCCTTTTTCGCCTCCGATGGCTTCATCGGCACCTCCAGGAACGTCCTCTCCTCCTCTTCTCTCACCTTCTCTCTCTTCTACTCTCCTCTCTATGTCCTCCTCATTATTATCTCTCTCTTTCTTTTATCCACTCCTCTACCTCTGTCCCCCCTCCTCTTCCTCTTTCTCTTCCTCTTCCTCTCCTCCCAGATGCTCCTATAGGTAAAAGGACTCAGTATGTTGTGCACTGTCTTTGTCTCATTAAAGAGGGCGTTTGTCTTTTGGGTGATTATTTGTGGCTGTTAAATCACAATCACAGTTTGACAAATGGTTCAAACGACGAGGCCGAAACTGTGAACGTTTGCTTTTGAAGTGCACTCGGGTCAGATTTACACAACTCTCCCTCTCGTCTGTCTGTGAGAAAAAAAAGGAAGTGTGCCGCTTATGCTGATGTACAGAGGAGTGTGAGATGAGACGAGGGTTAGAGTAGAGGGAGAAGAGAGAGAAGGAGAGAAATAGAGAAGGAGATGGAGAGACTGGGAGGGAGGGATAGAAATACAGAGAGAGAGACAGAGAGAGGAAATTAGCCATGCTGGCTATAATCTTTATATATTTACGTTTTTAATGTTCATTAATATGTGCTGTCCCTTTACAAATAAATACATAAGAACAAGAAATAAGAGAGAAAGACAGAGAAAGAAACAGAGCAAGAGAGAGAGACACACAGAGAGAAACAGAGAGACACAGATAGAAAGAGAGACACACACAGAGAGAGAGAGAGACAGACAGAGAGAGAGAAAGAGAGAGAGAGAGAGACACAGAGAGACACACAGAGAGAGAGAGAGAGACACGGAGAGAGAGGGAGAGAGAGACACACACACACAGAGAGAGAGAGAGAGAGACACAGAGAGAGAGACACAGAGAGAGAAAGACACACACACACAGAGAGAGAGAGAGAGACAGAGAGAGAGAGAGAGACAGAAAGGGACACAGAGAAAGAGAGACAGACAGAGAGAGAGAAAGAGAGTGAGAGAGACAGAGAGAGAGACACATAGACAGAGAGACATATAGAGACAGACAGACAGTGAGAGACATACAGAAACACACACACACAAAGAGAGAGAGAGAGACATAAACAGAGAGAGAAAGAGACGCACACAGAGAGAAGAGTGGAAATACACATGGATGGACAGAGAAAAGAGAGAGAATGGGACTGTGGGAGAGAGAGGGGTAGGTGTAGAAATGAAGAGAGACAGAGAGAGACACAATAAAAGAGACGACGAAAGAGAGATGGACAGAGAGAGAGAGAGAGAGAGAAAGAGACAGAGAGACATACAGAGACAGACCGAGAGTGAGAGAGACACACACACAGACATACAAAGAGAGAGGAGTGGGAATACAAATGAGTGGACAGAGAGAAGAGAGAGAGAGAATGAGGCTGTGGGGGAGAGAGGAGTGGTTATAATAGAAATGAAGAGAGACAGAGAGAAACACAGTAAAAGAGACGACGAAAGAGAGATAGACAGAGACAAGGGGACAGAGAGAAAGACAGACAGAGAGGGAGACACAGAGAACAGGAATGGGGCATACAAATAGACAGAGGAAGGAAAGGGACAGAGAGAAGAGAGAGAGATGGAGAAAAAGAGAGAAAGAGAGAGACTGCAGCACCTCTGTTTACAGCTCGCCCACTCCAGCATCAGGACCCCGCTCCAGACCTCCAGAGCCTCTCGCCTGAAAACAACAAAATAAACCAGACACACAGCGGTACCGTGGAAAACAGCAGGGCTCAAAGTCGATTCTCTATAATGTGATCTACAGAAAGCATTGTCCAAATCCTGGCAGAGGCATTGTACTGGTCCCAAGCCCAGATAAATCCATACAGACTTAAAGACACAGACTCCTAATTGCAGAATGGTTGAATAGAGGGTTTAAAATAAATAGCACATTTAGCCTAGAGAGGAGTAATCTACTGTCATTGTAATTGTCAAAAGTTCTGTTTGTGCTGTTCCCAAGCCTGGATAAATGGTTTACTTTAGTTAGAGTTTGGACACATTGTGCTTGTGTCTGCTCTGTAGTTTTAATCTCTGACATCTGTGGTACATTCTGTTATAATCGACACATTTTAAATCATAATATTGATCTAAAACGACTAAAAGAAACACATTGTCTGATTTCCACGTGATGACAACAAAGAGCTATGTGTGGACTAAGAAAGCTTTCAGAAATATTCGTGTGCATAGAATAGAAATCTGTGCATATTTGGCTGTAGTTGAGCATAAAGTAAATATTCGTAAACTGTCAGATGAGTTCAGTCTTGATCTCAATCGATGTTTCTTCTGTTCAATAAATAATGCCTGTGAAGTGATGTTATATTTTTGACAGTTGAGTCGCATCTGTGAATTTGTATTTGTACTGAAGAAAGTGTAATTGTACATTTTCATTTCATGATTGTAATTCTTGATGTCGTAGCTTTTCAGTTCGTATTCTGATGGATAAAATACACACAATGCATATTATGTACGACTGGACTCATTCAGGAGTTTACAAATATTTATTTTATGCTCAACTACTCCCAAATATGCACGGACTTCTTAGCCATACTGGTGCCACCTAGTGCCTTCGCTCAATTTCATTTCTCTCCAGCAACTCGGTCAGGAATTGGATGTTACGACCCAGCTCTGCTAAGGACAGGGATGTAACAAAAATAAAACCAAGATGTAAAATGGAGTAAATTAAATAATGTTTAATTAATGGGTGTAAAAGGTAAATTAACAAAAGGCTAAAATATGCAGAAAATAACCTAAACTAAGAAACAAAACAACAGAATAAACTGAGTTTTGAGCCACAAAAGGGCTCACGCAGGCTTATACAAAACGAGTGATTAACAAAGGGACACACACTAAACTAAAACACAAGTTCTCCAAATTAAACCACATAACCCTACAAACAGAATCGAGTGACCAAATCAAAAAAGGCACAAAACAGAACTACACACACAAACACAAAATGGCAGACTGGCCACCAAGACCCGCAGCCCTGAACAGGTGCAGGTAATCTTTTTAGATTAGGTGGCTGCAGGTGAGGTGGGCGTAGACATGCCCCACCAATCACGAGCCAGGACTCTCGCAGCAGGAATCGAGGTGTTCCACCAAAATGATTTAAAGCACACAAAATAAATTACAAATTAAGGCCTGGGGCCGTAACATTGGAATACAATAGATAGTTCGCAAAAACCTCAGAAGTGTGAGTTCGGGCACCAGCCAATCAGCGAAGAGTCATACATTCTGTGTTGTCAACGATTCCCGAGATCGAGAATTTAAAGTCGGAACAAAGAGAATGTTTGGTGAATTTTATCAAGGGGAAAGACGTTATTGTCCTTCTTTCTATGGGATTTGGGAAAAGCTTAATATACCACTTAGCCCCGTTAGCGGCGCATTACACACGTCACGAAAAAAGTACCCACCTACTGTTGAGCGAACGAATTCTAACACTGTGAGGTCTGATGGTTTCTACGAAGTGAAACCGGCTGATGAATCAGGTTACGGAAGTCTATCCTATTCACACAAATATTTACTCCATAGTTATGTAGCTCTCTGCACCTCCTGCACATCACGCCAGCAAGTTCTTTTGTACTAAATTAACTACGTGGCTCTGCAGAATCCTCATGTCTCACTGATACATGAGAAAATAATCCAATTGGCGGTTTGTCTAACGTGGTTAGTACACTGCAGTGGGCGTTTGGCGGTGAAAACAGGAGTTGATCAGCAATAATCTTGAAAATAAGCAATTAAAGATTGAGCAAACATGCAAAAATCACTCCAAATACAACTCTGAGAGGGGAAATGAGACGGGGGAAGACTGTTAAATGGATAAAAGCTCTGAAAAGTCCATGTTGTTGTAGCTGAACACAAGCAGTAACATTTTTACAGTGTGTGGCAGAGACACGGTTTGGTTTGGCCCGATGCTCTCACTGTTAGAAACAAGCCACTGCCATTTATGATAATTGTGCCTTGGTGTCACCACGGCCACGCCTAAAACTGGGTCACTGGGTCAAACAGGGACATTCTACGTAGAGTTCAATAATAATAATAAATTAATAGTTCTAAGAAGGGTGTGAGGAAGTGAAGGAGTGAATGTGTGAATGTGTCTGTGCAGAGGAATGCAGTTCTGTCAGTGTGTGGACTGAAAGACTCAGAGCCAAAGACTGCTCCACAACTTCAACTGTGGATATGTCAGAGAGAAGAGGAGAGAAAGAGATGGGGAGAAGAGAGAAGCGAGAGAAGAGGAGAGTAAGAGAGAGGAGTACAACAAAGATGGAGAAAGATGAAGAGGAAGAGAGATAAGGCAAAAGAAGTGGAGAGAGACAGAGGAAGAGAAGTGAAAAGGAGAGGAGATTGTAGAGACTGCTGTGTCATGAACAGTCACTGAGGGGAAATCCAGGTCTGTAATAAAGCAGACCACTGTAAACAAACCACACTGGAGCTTTATTTTTCATCATTTATAACCTTAGAGACAGTTACAGTTTACAATATAATAGAAAAGGACTCAAAAATACTCTGGATTTAAATGTACCTTCATTTATTCACATGTGTT